ATCACCCTTACCCAAAAGCTGAGTAGGGTTTGTTGTCGCGAGGTGTACCTGGACCTATGGAACGGCTTCGGCGACTCGCCTCGATTTGGGGGAGTTACTCAAGATCTCCTTCAGTTCATTGTATCCAGACACATATTCCGTTCTCAACTCAAAAATGGCCTTCGCGTTCGATTTTTCCAATTGTCCGAAACATGACTGTTGGTTGGCCATGAGTTTGGCAAACATAGCTTCGACCTTGGTGTCAAACTGAGACTCCTGTGCAAGCACTTTTTCTTCAACAGCCTGAATAGTGGATTGGACCTCCGCAAAAGAAGCGTTGGTATCAACCTGTGATTGTGCAACCTGTGCCGCAAGTTCCGCAACACGGGTTTCAAGCTGCTCAAACTTTGCGGGGACCGCACTCTGTTGTGGAGCACTCGCCTGCGAACAGGACATCGCAATCTTGGGGAGGTTGGGTTGCAACCTACGTGCCGTGGTGGCAACCACATCATGTGTGTTTCCATTTTCCTGTTCAATGACCAGTACAACCGTGCCTCTGATGGGAAAAGACCGCGTGGGAGGATGCACAGAACTGGTAATCGTCCACGCCCTGATACCTGCCGATCTAAGCACTTTTACTGGCCAGTTCAATGCCTTCAGGGCCTGTTTGAGGGTGGAGCGCGTGCAGTCATTTGGAACTCCCAACAATTGAAAGCGCCTGAAACCTCCTTCGTCTGAGTCACTGGATTCTGCCGCCAGTGGGAAGATCTTTTTCTTCAGCACCTTGTATTCCGTCGACAGGACTCGGACCCCAATGCCATGTTTAGATCTGGTAAGGCCGAAAGAGGTGGGCAGAGATGCCTGAACCGAACGGGCCTCTTGCAACGAATGACCGCGCAAGAGAATAGAACGAAACTTGGCATCGGGCCCTTTGTCGGCGCCACGTGGGTTGGGGTAAAAACCAGTCATTCCTCCGAGCCGCAAGATCGCATCCAACTTTCCGTTTTCAACTTTGACAAAGCCGTGATAATAGTCAGCTTCAGCGGCTCCAACTTTTTTGCCTCCTTTGAAGAAGGCTTGGCTCCAGGTCTGCGCGATGGCGTCCAAAGAAAAACCCAGCTGTTTGAGAAAAGTGTTGATACCTTCACAGGACAAGACATTCCATTTTTCTCCAGCTTCATTCTTGTAGACGTGCACCTGAACGACAGATTGGTTGGAAATCGTCTCCTGAAATGAAAGGACAGCTGTGGATCGGGTTTCAACCTTTTCATCCCCAGTTTGCACAAGTGTACATCTCAATGCCACAGGATGATTTTGCAACCGGGGACAAGTATGTTTTCCGCTTTGCCTGGAAAGCGTCCAGGGATTTCCTCACCTGCAGCACCAACAATGAGTACTCCAGAAGCGGCGACGCAGAGATTGGCACGAGTAACTGTATCGAGGTCAGCGAATTCCTCGAACCTGACGACATGGAGACCCGGCCAACCTTGGAGCAGTTGAGCAAATTCAATTTGCGGAAGAGGTTGTTGGCAAGCATGAAAGAAGGACATGTCAACGCGAGCCACGTGAGTCTGCTTGCGTGTCCTCCTTTTGGACTCATTTGGTACCTCGTCACCGGGTCCCGCTTTGTTGTACTTTGCCCATGGATCGGTGTCGAAAACAATGTCTTTCTTGGTTTCCTTGACGTGCCTGTGCTCAGTCGGGATGAGTACAATCCCTGCCGCAGAAGCATCATGTTTGAGGGTCGGCCAAACTGCCTTGCTCTCAAGGATCTGACGGCAACGTTTTTGACCAATTTTGTCAATAAGATGGTTTGCCTGGGCTTTGACAGTGCCTGAAGGGTGTCCATGTCCAATCAGTAGGCTTTGTAGCTGTTCTGAAATGGCCGCCAAAGTACCGGGTGCACCACCTGGGAGACAAAAGAACCGCGCACGCAGGGGTCCAATCGCATCAGCCGTGACGATCGAAACATCCTCATGAAGTGTTTTGCCATTGGCAAAGATACGGATCACATTTTTTCCTCCTGCATAGATGTTGGACAACAACTGTTGGACCTGAAAAACAGATGCCAATGGGTCAAGCAAGAAGACGCCAAAGGGGTGAATCTGAAAAGGTTGCGGCCAAAATTCAACGTGATAAGAACACCCAAGGGTCGGGAAGGTCGAACCATCAACTCTGACATCAACCGGTGAAGTAACAAAGGGTTTCCGAGCAGTTTGGAAAGGGAAAACCTCCTGGATCGCTTCGCCAATGGTGACACAATCCCGAAATTTCCAAAATCGAACCTCACCAGCCGCAGTGAAAGGGATTTCGTCACTCACTAGCACTTAAAAACAAAACATCACTTCAATAGCAGCTCTTTCAACCTTATTTTTGCTCTCCGTGCTCCAGCCAATCACTACACAATGCATCTCAGATTCATGACCGATGCAATGCTGCAAAGCCAAGCATAAAACGGAAAGAGCTGGTGAACATGGAAACAAAGAATTGTTGGACTGTGTCAGTTCCAGGTCCAGGTAAGGAGATAAAATACCCAAAAAAAACATTGTTGAAAAGTTTCTAGTCGAGCACCCTTTCCTGTCATGTTCCCCAGTCTTTTCCTTTCATTTCCTTTCATTTCTTTCATGCTCCTTTCGCTTTCCCTGCATGTTCTTGTCATGTTCAGTTTCTTTGCTGTTCTTTTCCTCTTATGTCCTTGTTGTTTCCTTTCAGCGATCGATGTCCCTTTCTGTAGGGTTTTGGAGGCTCAAAGTGCCATGTCATAAGGTTTGGGGACACACATGCATAAATTTCACTAGATTTCACCATGTCCCATCGTGTAAACCAGTCAGGCCGTTGTAGCTCGTGAGTGCTAATCTTGAGGTTTCCCATCCTAGCCGAGATCTGATAGTTTCACATCTGAGGGATATTTAAAGATGAGGGGCAAAATAGCATGTGCTGCAGGGTTTTTGGACGTGACATGGTCCGATTTGTTCAATATGTTTTATATACCTTGCCTGAAAGATTTTGGGCACATGACATGGCCAATTTTTTGGTTTCGACCTATCACGCTTTGCCTATGTCACCTGGGGTCAGTGCAACATTTGGGTCCACACGGAGGCTATGTCATCTGCCACGTCCTTTCCATATAGAGGGCTATGTCTTCTGGCCTGAGTATACGTTTTCAATCGTTTTCAACAATTCTGTGGCTTGGGGTCCTCCCATTCAGTTTTTGAAAGGACACGTAGTTGGAAATGGAAAACAAGAGCTGACGTGTGTTTTTTGTTTTTGGCTGAAGGTTTCGTAAAGTAGACAGTTTCGCTAAATAGGCAGGGGAAGCCCTACACTTGGAACACCCAGCAAATCTCTTTCATAGGTCCCTGACATCAACCTTTTCATAGTGACAAGAGGTGGGTTTGTCCACAAAGTGTTGCAGGATTTCTTAAGTTTTAGGTGTGGAAACAATCTAAATATTAGCATACAGTATACCAACAGTTGGGGAGCCTGACACTTAGAACATCTCTTTCCTTGGGATTCACACAATGCACATGTTAAAATGTAAATGGGTGGAACTAAAGAAAAACACTTGAAATGCAGTAAATTCTGTGTTTCAGTTCAAGGCTTCATGAAGTAGATAGCATATCAATTGGTGAGGGAAACCCCGCACTCCCCAGCGGATTCCTCTTAAAAATCACAATATTTACTGTGAAAAGGGGCGGGACAGAAAAGGAAGAGGTGTAATTGGGACTCGTGCGGATACAGGCGCATAAATGTACCAATAAGTAGGGCAACCTTGCTCTTGGACGCTCGAATATCTCTTTTTCTTTATTTATTCCTGAGTTTATCTATTTTGTTCTTTCGTGTTTCCTTCCTTTCTTTTTTTCTTCCTGTCTCTCGCTCTCTCTCTCTCTCTTTCTCTCTCTCTTTCTCTCTCTCTTTCTCTCTCTCTCTCTCTCTCTCTCTCTCGGGAACACCGCATTTAGACTATCATGGAACTGCCTCCCAAATTGGTTCCTGGCAATCTTCATTTTCAGCATCGTTGCAGCGTGCGAAGGTTTGGGAATGGAAGAAAGAATTGTGTGTGGTGTTTTTGAGCTACGGGTTCGGAAAAGTATAGACAAATACACAAATGTACCAACAGGATCCAACAGGTGAGAAAACCTCACACTTAGATACACTTAGAACATCTCTCTCGCCGGGTTCACACGGGGCACGTGTTAAGAAAATGAAAAAGAAAGCAAAATGCAGTAAATTCTGTGCGTCAGTTCTCGTAAAGTTGACCGGCACACCGATTACAATCGGTTGGGGGGCCTCACAGCTAGAACATATAGTTCCCCCGGCTCCCCCGCATGTTTCCTGTGATGAAGGTGTGAAGTAGGAACATATGTTTGTCAGTTTGTCTGTGAGTTCTGACATCAAAGCAATGTTGCTTCATGAATATGTTATGTTGTTTGTGAAGTGTACCTAGAGGTTTCACTATCTGTGTTTAACCTCTTCCTTTTGTATGAAGGTAGATGAATGTCTAATATGTATGTATATGTTCTGTTTGTCTGTTCGTATGTCTGTATGCATGCATGCATGCATGTGTATATCATGCATCTATGCCACGTTCTAAGTGTGGGGTCACCACAGCGAACTACTCAGGTGCGGTTTCTATGGTGTATGTGTTGGGTATGCTTATATACTTCAGGTATCCATCCATCCATCCATCCATCCATCCATCCATCCATCCAATAATATATGATTATTTTACCAAGTGTGACAGTCCCGGCAGGGAATTGCACTAGTTCAGTGGCTATAGGGATTGATATTAAGCATATTTAAGCATCATATATGATTTTATGATCATGTAAATATATGTAAATCCCATCTGGGTTGTTCTGGGATGTTCTAAGTGTGAAGAAAAAGAATATAATCGAATGCAGAATGCGCATTTTGTAACTTTTTCAAAACATGTTCTAATTGAGTGCCCATCGCTATAGACATCTCTAAGACTCACCCTGCATGAAGTTACCATCAACACAAATCGTAAAGGGCGTGGCGAGAGCATGATCTTCTTCCGAATTGTTCGAGCCTCGCAGCTGCCGAGATGGCTAAGATTGGCTAAGATTGGCTAAGTCACAAGTCGCTGCGTCGCTCAAAACACATCGAGCTATATACTGGGTCGGAGCTGCACACGGCTGAGACGCTGGCAGCAGTTTCTTGCTTGTCTGACCTGCACTGCACATCCGCTTCAACAAACACACTTGGGGCAAAGGGCGATGGACAAAAGCTAGGGGTGGCAAGGATAATGAAAGGGAGTGGAACAGCGGTGAAGGGAAGGTCGCTCGCGTAAGGGGAGGATTGCAGTATGTACATCTAGTGCTGCAGAATGACTGTTGCGGCACAAAACATACCAATAGCCAATAACCAACAGTTGGAGCTATTTCATTTCCTATCCGTGACTGATCTATACATCATACTGAATCATACTTGAAAACGATGTCATCACAACGGATACAACGGAACCTCTAAACTTGATTAACTTGAAACAAAGTTGTGTTTCACTGCAAAGAGTTGCATTGTCCCAACAGCGAGGCCGGCGTTTCTGCTACAAGCTAAGCAGTCCCTGGTTGCCAAAAAACATGAGGCATGTGGGAACAACCCCAATTCAAACCGGGCAAAACACATGCAACGCATCCAGTAGTACCCAAAGGCAAAGGAGCAAGACCGAATCCATCGTCTGAGGCATGCTTGCCGCCGTTGTGGGTGGTGTCGCTGCTAAAACCGGGCAGGTCTGCAAAAATGGAGTATTCTAGCCCCTACTCGTGGGGTGGGTGAGAGGGTGGGGGTGTGACTCTGAAGTTTGATTGGAGGTTCGGCCGCTCCACCAATTTACTAAAGCAAGAGCAACCTCAGCCCAGCTAGCACTAACCGGCTTCGATGCTTGGGACAGAGCACGGCTCCAAAAAAGCACACAGCTGCAAAGCTGAGACGAACACGCTGCCCACACTGGCACAATGTTGTGAGCATCCACCTGTGAGGCTGCATTCTGCTCAACTCACCGGATTTTACGCCGAGTCCAGAGAGATACCAAGAGGAGAGGTCAGACACTTTTTGGGGGAGAGGGGTACGAAGCTGCTGCACCTGCACCACAGGTACCTGCGCCGAACTTCAAACTTCGACCAGGGCACTGAAAAATGCTGGCCATCATGGTCATCTTGTGATTCAACCTACTCTGGTAGGGTAAGCAGTTGTGTTTGCAGATTGCTGGGCTCCATGCTTTTGAACTACTCCGCAGCAATGGGAGTAGCAAGGGCTCGAGGCGGAAATGTCTCTGCTAAATCCTAACTACCAGAACACCTGCAAGAACGGCACCCTTCGGAGGAATTGAACCACAGGAGGAGACAGCTGTTCGCTTTTGCGAACAGCTGCCTGCGGGAACCTTGTGACTCCGGCTTGGCCGAATCACATTCCACCACGTCGGCAACCTGATTACTGTTTAAGGTAGACCCTGGAGATATTCTACTCCACCGTCATCAAAACCTAGCACTTTCTGGCATTTGACCAGGGCTTGTTGACACTGTTCCTCCAGACCGACAGGAACAAGTTCGGACTTAAATCTCTTGCAGTGTGCAAGGGTTCTCTTGGACTCCTGGAAGAGCATCTGGTGTGCTGCGAATGTTTGAGAGGTCTGTTTGCGAAGAGCATCCTGCAAACTTTGGATCTGCTGGATCTGCTTTGCCTGAATCTTTTCCTGCCTTCTTCGAACTGCCAGCCCAATGTCGTGCATGAGATTCTTCGATGTCTTAGCGGCATTTGCTACATTCCCTGCAATACGCATCCAGTTAAGCAAAGCCTGGCAGGTCACGGAGGACCTATCCCCAGGATCCAAAGGGGGCATGATGCTTGTCTCGGAGGATCCCTGTGCAGTCGCAGGCACTGTCTCCAGCGCAGTCGCTTCATCGCGTGCCTGGCAAGACTGGCAAGGGAATTACGGCTTTTGAAGAATTGAGCTGGATATAATTTAAGAACGTAGTGGACGCAATCACAAATTTGAAACTGATGAACACCGGCATGCCTCAGCCACCAAACACCCCGGCGCAACACCAGGTTGGGTGAATGTCCTCCCGGAATCATCCGGAATCCAAAAATTAGCAACCGCAAGTGCCCAAAGCCCAAACCTTCAAATCTGGGATGTCCCGTGCCTGTTCGCTGTGCCCACCTTCAAGGGGCTTCACTAAGTTCGCATAGCGTTCTGGCGTCAAGGTTTCAGAACTCCCAAACTGTGTCTCCTTTGCTTCTGCCGAGATTTGATGAGCTTGGCGCCGCCAACGCCTTACAACCTCGCCAAGCAGTAGCAAATCCTTGTCGATCTAATAACACCAGGTCACTGAGTCATTGTTGACGAAATGAGTCTAATCAGTGTCGTTTCCCAAACGAGCAAAAAGCAAGAGGACATGTATGGCCCAGCCCAGCAAATGCCCCCTTCCCCCCTGATGGTCATGGTCCTGTACGGACGCTGCATGTAGGAGGTTTGGTGTCGGATATCCCCTTGTGGGGTGGGTGGGGGCTAGGTAGTGTGTCACTAGCATGTAAGGCAAAAAGTATATAGGTAGTATGTGGCTACAATGCTCCACGCCCCTATGGGATGGGTAGGTGTTATAGAGGTACCATGTAGATAGTGTATGGGTAGCACATGGCTTGCACGTATGTATAGCATATGAGATCTTGACAGTAGCCCAGTAGCTAGTTTATGGCCACTATAAAGGTACTTTATTGGCAGTTATACATTGTAAATAGCGTGATGCAGTGTGTAGCTTACCCCCACGCCCCCCCACCTGTGGGATGGGTGGGGTATTATATATCATGTAGGTATATGTAGGTAGTGTAATTATAGGTAGTACGTGGCCAGCACGTATGTATAGCACAAGAGATCTTGATAGTAGCTACTATAGACTATATGGCTACTGAGATACTTCGTGAGTGTAAATAGCGTGATGCAAGGTTTAGCTTACCCCCCGCCCCCCCCTGTGGGATGGGTGGAGTGTTATAGAGGTATCATGTAGATAGTGTGTCGGTAGTATGTGGCCAGCACATATGTATAGCACATTATATCTTGACAGTAGCCCAGTAGCTAGCATATGGCTACTATAAAGGTACTTCATGGGCAGTAATACGTTGTGAATAGCGTGATGCAGGGTTTCGCTTACCCCCCCCTATAGAGGTATCATAGTGTGTAGGTAGTACGTGGCCAGCATGTATGGATAGCACATGCGATCTTGATAGTAGCTAGTATATGGCTAGTATAGAGGTACTTTATGGGAAGTAATACGTTGTAAATAGATTGTATGGGCATTGAGAACACTGCAGGGAGGTATCCTGGTATGTAGTGTATAGGTGGTGCAAGGCGTGTGTGTTTGGGATATATGCATACGCCGCAATGCTTCGCACATCTTCGTACTGCAATCGTGACACGCCGTGAAGGACGCAAGCCCGACTCAGCGCCAGCAGCATATCTGCCAGTCGAGGCCATTTTTTGGCAATGTCCTCTGCTCTGTGGTTGAATACTTCGTTCCTTGGGTGTTTTGAAAGAATGGCCTAAAGGAGAGCGCAAAAGGCGTGGTGCCTGGAATTGGTTCAAACATGTTTTCAAATGCTATGAAAATATACATATGCATATACATATTCCTATACATGTACATGTGCATATACACAATTATACATATACATATCACATATTATATACAAGTTACTTAATCATCTTAATCTGGTTTTCTGGTTTTGAGTCTGGCACGCCTGAAATGCAGATTAATTATGCACCGCTTCTAAGCGGTGTGTGTGTGTGTGTGTTCGCTGCCCAGGGGCTGAAAGGACCCACGTCCAAACATAAAAGGCAAAGTGTTTGCGTCTTCTGTGGTATCGCCTGGCCCTTACAGCTCTGGTTATTCAGGCACCCTAAACAATTGAAAAAACAGGCAAATGTATTGGAGGAGACATGTTAAAGAAATTGAAGAAATACAGTGGCTTCAGTCAGAGGATTCCAGTGCAAATCGAAGCGGCAGAAAAATTAACCGCGCCCAGGATTGAACCACTTTGTGCTCTCTTTCGGCTTGGGCGTGATGCATCTTCTTTACGAGCCTTACAAGGCATGGGCCAAAAGATGTGCTAAGGCCATTCTGGCTTTGAGCTTTGAGCAAGATCTACGGAGAACTATGACATCTATTGAAATCTATTGAAATCTATGAAAGCCCATGATGGTCTATGTTCCTGAGCGCTAGTTCCTGAGCGCTAGTGCCGTTGCCACTTGATGCACCGCTTGGGGTATTGCTGACATAAAGCTCAATTTGACAAGCTGCCGGGCCCAAGACATAGAAGCTCGGTAAAACGCTTCCGTCATATCAGTCGCGTCTTGCTGAGCTCCCTGCAGTGACAAGGTGGATTTCTGGGTGGGGGCTGCATACTTCATAGGATTCACAGGTTCTCCCAACATCAAGACTACAATTGTGGCTTAGATGGTTGTGACATGTTTCGGCTCATCGTTGACTGCGAGCGAACAACATTGAGACAGCTCCTAAGATCGCCAGTGTCAATCTTGTTGCATCTTTTTGCGTCTTTCATATTGCCCAACCGGCCCAACCCCGCAAAAAAGAAGATGCGACAGACAAACAGGGAAACACAGGAACAAAATGCAACTAACATCAACTAACCATTGGCCCCAAGCGTTTGCTCTTTCTGCTTTTCGAATAGGAAATGCAGAAGAATGTCCAGACACCCCTCTTCTGAGACCAACTAGTCCGAGAAACGATGGCTTGCCGGTAGAGAAGTAGAACCGCTGTCCTTCCCCATTTCCATGCAATCTCTGCTTTTTGATGGCTGGACACCTGGACAGAAAAAATACTGATGCTTGACCCGGCTTGCAGCCTGATAGCAGCCGGTCAAATGCTGTGGCATATTGTGAGCGCAAGGTTTGTGCTTTGGCTGTGGAAAACTGTGTTCAGGCAGCCCTTGAGCTTTACAGATTCCACTTTCGAAGCCGGAGGGTCCAAGAGCTCAGGGGCTGGCAATGAAGTTAATGAAGCTGGATGCAGAGGACTTTGGAAAAGGACATTCGGATTCCCGACAGAAAGTTCTGCTAGCAGCTACACAGCTTGGCGAAGAAGCACATTTCAAAACTCCCCTGCATACAAGTGGCGAGGTCCTCGACCTTCGAGTCAGACTTCATGGATGCCAAAACGGATCCGCCCAAAGCAATGCTTATTCTCAAAGACCAATCCACAGTAGGCAACTGTGCATGGTATGTAGCCACCGCGACCAAACTCAGATGGCAATGCGAAGAGCATTCCAAAGCCTTTCACTCTAGCCACATAGATTGCCAATTTGCTATTGCTGCAGCCGCGAAAAATATAGACAACCAGACTTTTGCCCGGATCTATATAGCACACAACCTGCCTATAATAAACCAGGTCAATCTACTGAATCTACTGAACAAAATACAGAATAGGAGACCCTAGGAGTGCACTCTTGCAATTACATTGCAAGAAGCTGGATATTCATGGATATTCCTCATGATTCAGGGGTTTGACTACAAGAATGCACCAAGCTATTTGCTTGATAGAAAACTGCACCACCGCTTTAGGACAACATTGTTCCGTTTCATCCTCTTGAGGGGTGCCTTGCAAACTCGACACAACCAGTATCAGTACAGCAACTGAAGACCTTGGAACATCTCAGGAAAACGAAAAAACTCAGTGACTTCCTGGGACCCCCCCCTTTCCAGAAGAGTTTAGAAGTACTGAACTTTTTGTGTTCGCGCTTTTTGTTTGGCGGATTTCTCCACTTCAAGAATGGAAAATGGCAGTCTTCTTTTCAAAAGTGGAGCAAGCATTCCTTGAAGACAATGTATGCACAAATTCTTCGCAAAAGCTTTCCGAAGAATATATGGCACGTCCAGGATGTCCTTTAAAAGAAATGCTCTGTGTGCAATTTCCCTCGAAGAAGTATTTTTGCATTCGAAAGATGCTGCATTAGTTCAAAGAGTTCAGCATTTCTCTAGGAATGCGTAGCATTCCTTGAAAGAAGAAACATGGTTGCAAAACATGTACTATGTTTGCGGCCAAGACCCAAACTGTGTCGAGCTGTGGCGGGCTGTGGCCAAACATGCACTACTAGTAAGCCCTCAAACGATGCATCAGAAGTGGTCATTCGACATATGCAATATCAGGCAATATTTCTGCTAAAACTGCAGGATGTCCCCAGCCCAGTACATTGTTAAGGCAGTAGTTCTGCAACATGTGCTTGCCTCTAAAAGGGATGCCGCGTCCCATGCAGAAAAGTGAAGTGTGTCTTGAAAATATGCCATAGCCATATTCCCTTTGCATTCGCATGTGTAATGTTTCTTTGAAACATGTCTGATTCTGAAAAAGCACAGCCTTCTTCAAAGAAGCAGCCTCTATTTGACTGATGCAGTACTCTTTAAACAATAAGCCGCTCGCTTTACAAGAAGCGTTGTCTTCTTTGCAAGGAGCAGTCTTCATTTCAAGAATGCAGTATTTAGTTGAAAAAATGCAGTCCGTTGAGAAGGCAACGGCCCTTGAGCAGTATTCCAGGCCCATTGTTTTTTTCCAGAAGTGCGGCATTAAAAGTGCAGCATCAAAGTGACCATTTTGGTTCATGGCTGATGGCTGATGAATCTTTGGATATATATATATATAAACTGAAACTAAGACATGGATAGAAATGGTCCCACGCCTGCATCCCTTTAAAAAAAATACTGTACAGAAACAATACTTCTGCAAAATAGTTTGCGCTCCTTTCAAAGATCTTGCACCTTTTCAAATGAGAATGTGTTCCTTGAAAAGAGTTTCGAATCCATGACGCGTTTCAAATATTAAACAACTCAACAAAGGTTGGGAACGCCTAGATAAGCGTCAGCGTATGTGTGTGTCGATCATACATGCAAGTAAGCAAGTTAGCAAATTACAGAGTGAATCTTTGCAAGCGCATGTATTGTACATTGTACAGGTGCCAGGCAACCGTATTGAACTGCCTGTGACGGTTTGAGACAGCATGTGAGGTATGCATCTGTGGGTGTGATTGTGTGAATTCGCGCATTCATGCAGAATCCATATCATTCTACATCCATATTTATATACATACACACACATATATATATATACATATACATATACTTGTCTCCTTCTCTCGCACTCGCTCTCTCGCTCTCTCTCTCTCTCTACCTCTCTCTCTGCATCTATGTAGCCAGCAATGTAATGCTATGTATATATCTATCGACCCGTCGATAAATCCATTAATGAATCCAGCCATCGATCCATCCATCCGTCCGTCCATCCATCCATCCGTCCAGCTAATATCCTGTACGCGGTGTTGTGTGGTGTTTGGGTGTCGTCATGCAGTGCTTTGCAATGTTTTCAAGTGTTGAGTAGCTCACGTGCTGCGCAAATGCAATTGTGTATATCCTGTGTACTTATTGCACGATCTTAAGCTTATATTTGTATGTTTGTGCATGTGTGCACACAGCTGTGTGCATGCAGTTCGTATACTCTTGCTTCTGACCTGAAATTGGCAGCAGCGTTGCCAAGGAATAGTCGTATGGTCATTGTAATGCTGCGATATGCTGCGATGATACCTTTTGAGAAGGGATAGGCCATTGTAGCGATGGACAATTGAACTGCCGGGGAGCTATGCCCAAGAGCGCTCTGCCCTTTGCGTCACTAAATCTGGAGCCGCTGGGCCTTGCTGATCAAAAGTGGAATCGATTCAGAAAACTCGAATCGACATCACTCGACATCTCAGGAATCTCATGGAATCTCCACAAGACAAGTGCTTCACAGAGCCCATCTGAAACCTGAGCAAGAAGGAGGCGGCTGCCAAGGAACGAGATTTGACAATCTCCAATTCTGATTTCCTTGGCAAAGGTTGAAACATGTTGAAACCGTCAAACAGTGAGAGCTGTTCACTAGCAGCTGAAGGGTCCAGTACTGAGTTTAGATGTGGTTGAAGCACGTTGAAGCATGTTGAAACATGTTGAAGCGACGCTGCCCATGCTTGTTCCAACTGCTTCATGCATGTTCCAAACTGCTTTATATTTGCAAGAGAGGTTCAGTGCCGTGACCTCTTGCTCAGCTTCCATCAGACAGTCCTTGGAAGTCAAACCCTGCACCGCGGCAACCGCATCAAACACTTGGATTTACAGCATCTACTCCCTCGTGTCCTGCAGCTCCTTGCACTTCATCATCACATTCTGGTGTTCCTGCAGGGCGCGGCTTTATGCATCTTGTACTGGTGATCTTTTACTTTTCTAGCGCAGACCTTGCAGCAACCTCATGTCAAGCCCAGTATACCAGTTCTTGTGCGCTCTCCTGAGCTGCCATTCCTTTTGCTGCATCAGTCACTCGCTGCTGAATCAGGCTGGCTGCGTCTTTGGCCCATTGGGCCTTGCATCGAATCTTTCATGATTGAAAACTTCGAAAACATGCAGTACATTACAATATATATATATATACACACATATATATATAATTCTCTTTTGTTCACACGGCGCAGACACAAAGAAGCTCTGCAACAGCCTGCAGCTGTTCCTTCGGAAATCGGGGAAATGGAGGTGCTGTCCACACCCCGAGGCACAATGATTGTTGGAAGCGTGCCTCTTCGGCATGGGCTGCAACTCCATGAGCTAGATGCATCAGCCGACGCCAGCGTCCAAGAACCTTGGCAAATTGAAGACAAGAATCGACAAAGGGAGCTGCGTTTCCCTGCGGATTGTATCGAATCGTGATGATTTGTGCATATTTAATCATAGTTATGCGCCTTTTGCAAGCAAGACACGCCATTGAGGAGCTGCGCTCTACTGACACCTAGTCTCCAACCAGTGCTTACATCCTGCGCCACAAGCATGGCAGCCATGCGAGGCCAGTGCCGGACAACGTCCTCCATTTTGTGACCGCACCCTTGGCTCCTCAGAAATCTCTCGTGATCTTTCATGCCAAAACAGCAGGAGCACAAAAAGATGGAAAAAGGATGAAAAAGGAATTAATAGTGGGTCAAAGAACTTCAAAACTATGTTCATGCGCAAAAATAATCAAAACATGCACGAGCTCTCTGCTTGGTGCCACTAAATGGTCTTGGGTGTTGTATAGATGAGAGGACAAAGATAATGCACTTCTGCTATGTGCTTTCCCGGGTCTCAAAGTCCAGTCAGAAGAAAGTATGAATTGTGTGCGTTTTCTCTGTGTCTGTGCGCGCTTATTATCTGCCTGGCCCTCGCAGCTCTGGTTCAGAAACAAAAAATGATGAAACATGCAAAAGTATTTGAGGAAACATGAAGAGGAAACTGAGGAAACATTAAGAAAATTGCAGAAACATGCAGAAACGTGTCAAAGAATTGAAGAAATACAGTGGCTTCAGTCAGAGGATTCCAGTGCAAATCGAAGCGGCAGAAAAATTAACCGTGCCCAGGATTGAACCACTTTGTGCTCTCTTTCGGCTTGGGCGTGATGCATCTTCTTTACGAGCCTTACAAGGCATGGGCCAAAAGATGTGCTGAGGCCATTCTGGCTTTGAGCTTTGAGCAAGATCTACGGAGAACTATGACATCTATTGAAATCTATTGAAATTTATGAAAACCCATGAGGGTCTATGTTCCTGAGCGCTAGTTCCTGAGCGCTAGTGCCGTTGCCACTTGATGCACCGCTTGGGGTATTGCTGACATAAAGCTCAATTTGACAAGCTGCCGGGCCCAAGACATAGAAGCTCGGTAAAACGCTTCCGTCACATCAGTCGCGTCTTGCTGAGCTCCCTGCAGTGACAAGGTGGATTTCTGGGTGGGGGCTGCATACTTCATAGGATTCACAGGTTCTCCCAACATCAAGACTACAATTGTGGCTTAGATGGTTGTGACATGTTTCGGCTCATCGTTGACTGCGAGCGAACAAAATTGAGACAGCTCCTACTGGCAGGACGGGACCGCCAGTGTCAAATTCGAAAGCGCAACTTGTTGATATTGTTTCCATCTTGTTGCATCTTTTTGCATCTTTCATGTTGCCCAACCCCCCAAAAAAGAAAAAACAACTGCAGACCGTGCGACAGACAAACAGGGAAACACAGGAACAAAATGCAACTAACCATTGGCCCCAAGCGTTTGCTCTTTCTGCTTTTCGAATAGGAAATGCAGAAGAATGTCCAGACACCCCTCTTCCGAGACCAACTAGTCCGAGAAACGATGGCTTGCCGGTAGAGAAGTAGAACCGCTGTCCTTCCCCATTTCCATGCAATCTCTGCTTTTTGATGGCCGGACACCTGGGGGTATGCCATTGGGAGTGGGAAAAGAAGCTCTGCAACAGCCTGCAGCTGTTCCTTCGGAAATCGGGGAAATGGAGGTGCTGTCCACACCCCGAGGCACAATGATTGCTGGAAGCGTGCCTCTTCGGCATGGGCTGCAACTCCATGAACTAGATGCATCAGCCGACGCCAGCGTCCAAGAACCTTGGCAAATTGAAGACAAGAATCGACAAAGGGAGCTGCGTTTCCCTGCGGATTGTATCGAATCGTGATGATTTGTGCATATTTAATCATAGTTATGCGCCTTTTGCAAGCAAGACACGCCATTGAGGAGCTGCGCTCTACTGACACCTAGTCTCCAACCAGTGCTTACATCCTGCGCCACAAGCATGGCAGCCATGCGAGGCCAGTGCCGGACAACGTCCTCCATTTTGTGACCGCACCCTTGGCTCCTCAGAAATCTCTCGTGGTTTTTCATGCCAAAACAGCAGGAGCACAAAAAGATGGAAAAAGGAATTATATACCAGTAGTACCGCACAAGGCGGTGGCGGAAGTTTCAAAAATAGGAAACCTATAGGAGAGGTTGGTTGTTGTGAATCAGGGATGGCAGAGCGAAGCCACTGATGGACTGAAAGGTGCTTGAGGTCTCCTCTCTTTCTCTCTCTTTCTCTTTGTTTCTCTCTGTTTCTCTATTTTTCTCTGATTATCTATCTACCTACCTACCTACCTACCTACCTATATATATCTCTCTCTCTATCTATCTATCTATCGATCGATCTATCTATCTATCTATCTATCTATCTATCTATCTATCTATCTATCTATCTATCTATCTACCATCTATCTATCCAATCTATCTTTCTTTTCTATTCTATTCTATTCTATTCTCATCTCATCTCATCCCATCTCATCTAATCTAATCTAATCTATCTATCTATCTCTCTATCTCTCTATATCTCTATCTCTCTCTGTCTCTCTCTCTCTCTCTTTCATCTGTCTATCTGTCTATCTGTCTACCTGTCTATCTGTGGTGCAGTGTCATTCAGTGTCGTGTAGTGTAGGATAATGTAGTGTAGTGCAGTGGAGTGTAGTGGAATGTAGAGTAGTGTGGTGTAATGTAGTAGTGTAGTGTAATTTAGTGTGGTGGAGTGTAGTGGAGTGTAGTTGTAGCTGTAGTTGTAGCTGTAGTGGAGTGTAGTGTAGAGTAATGTAGTGTAGTGGAGTGTAGTGTAGTGTAATGTAATGTAGTGTAGTGGAAGGTAGTGTAGTGTAATGTAGTGTAGTGTAATTTAGTGTAGTGGAGTGTAATGGAGTGTAGTTGTGTAGTTGTAGCTGTAGTGTTGTGGAGTGTAGTGTAGTGTAATGTAGTGAAGTGTAGTGGAAGGTAGTCGTGTAGTGTAATGTAGTGTAGTGGAGTGTAGTGTAGTGTAGTGTAATGTAGTGTAGTGGAAGCTAGCGTAGTGTAGTGCAATGTAGTGTAGTGTAGTGGAGGGTAGTGTAGTGTAATGTAGTGTAGTGTAGTGTAGTGTAATTTAGTGTAGTGGAGTGTAATTTAGTGTAGTGGAGTGTAGTGGAGTGTAGTGGAATATAGTTGCGCAGTTGTAGTTGTAGTTGTAGTGTTGTGGGGTGTAGTGTAGTGTAACGTAGTGAAGTGTGGTGGAAGGTAGTGTAGTGTAGTGTAACGTAGTGTAGTGGAGTGTAGTGTAGTGTAGTGTAGTGTAATTTAGTGCAATTGAGTGCAGTGTAGTGGAGTGGAGTGTAGTGTAGTAGAATGTAGTAAAGGTGTAGTTGTAGTTGTAGTTGTAGCGTAGCGTAATGTATTGGAGTGTAGTGTGGTGTAGTGGTGGTTGTAGTTGAAAATGCTACAAAACCCTCACTTTTTCCTCACTTTTGACAAGGTGCACAATCCCGTGCGCCTGCCACGTGAAGCGACATCTGAACCTCCAAAAGTGGTCCGAACCCCTGGTGTTTTTAACATGTTGACTTCGAAATGTGCTTCGCGCCACAACGGCGTGCACTTTTTCGACATCTGAACCTCCAAAAGTGGTCCGAGAATGGTGTGCTTTGTACATTTTGACTTCGAAATGTGCTTCGCGCTACAACAGCGTGCACTTTTTCGACATCTCAACTTCCAAAAGTGGTCCGATAATGGTGTGCTTTGTACATTTTGACTTCGAAATGTGCTTCGCGCTACAGTTACAACGGCGTGCAATTTTTCATCTCTCATCTGGCCAGCTGGCTCCGCACCCGCCGCTTTAGCGAGCCTACTTTTCGACCCTCCGGAGCCACAAATCATTGGAAAAACACAGTGTTTCGCGACTTTCCTACCTTTTCGCGCATCTGCATCTTCTTTCGTCTGACTCTTTCTCTTCTACTCTTCTCTCTTCTAATCTTTCTCTTCTCTCTGCCTCTGCCCTACTCTGCTTTTCATCTGTCCATATTGTCGGAAGTTTGACTTCTAAACTTCCTTCGAATAGTGGGCCAAAGAACTTCAAGAATATGTTCATGCGCAGAAATAATCAAAAAATGCACGGGCTCTCTGCTTGGTGCCTGGATCTCTCCACATCTTGGTGTGTGCATGTGTGTGTGTGTGTTGCCCAAGGGTTGAAAAGTTTGTCCAAAGGCAAGATGACGATCTGTTTCCATTTTCTGTGTGAAAAGTTACTTTGGTCCGACTTGCTGTTGGAGCTCGAAAGCAAGAAAATACAAGCATGGCGAAACACATCGAAACACTATACCACATCATATAATCATAATCATATATATATATATATCACTATTATCACTGTCTGACATCGACAGTCACAGCCAGAAGCCCCAATCGAAGCAAGCCCGGATTCCTGACATCCACCAAATCTAGCCTCAGAGAAGCAAATGCCCAACCGGCCCAAGAACACGAACCCCAAAAGCTGGCTGACCGGTTGAAACTGTTGTGAAAAGACGATGCCACAAAGGGTGCAAAAGTACTACTTCAAGAATTTTCCAAACTGGGAAGAGAGGCATTGATGCGAGTCGAGCCCAAGCTTGAATGACCCAGCTTTCTCGCTCAGCTTGGCCTCTACTGATCACCGCTACAATCCTGAGCCACAATTCTTGCACGGGATATGCTTACGATGAAATACATTGGAATGCAAAAGGTGCACTTGTGTCTATGTGTTTCTTCCACTACGCAGTATGGTACGCATAGAAGCTTTTCTCAAACGCGGCTAGCTTCCGTGCCCAAGACATCAGGGCTCGCCGGAACTGATCACTCGCGAGAATAGCATCCCGGTGAGCGCCCTTGGAAATCAGTTGCTTGCTGATGCATGCGGTATACACACACACGAATTCAGGTCATGGCTTGACACAAGCACTGTATGTATGTATGCATGCATGCATGCATGCATGCATGGATGGATGCATGTATGTATGTATGTATGTGTGCGTGTCTGTATGTATGTACGTACGTACGCACGTACGTACGCACGTACGTATGTACGTACATACGTATGTATGTATGTGTGTATATGTGTGTGTATGTGTGTATGCGTGTATGCGTGTATGCGTGTATGTGTGTATGTGTGTATGTGTGTGTGTATGTGTATGTATGTATGTATGTATGCATGCATGCATGCATGCATGTATGTAAGTATGTATGTGCATGCGTATGTCTATGTCTATGTATATGTATCTGTATCTGTATGTGTATGTCTATGTATGTGTATATGCAGACGGACCTTTTACCGGCCCACAAATTGGGGTAGGGTGGGGTGGGGTGGGGTGGGGTGTGATATCATTCGTCAGTACTGCATGACATTTTTATGCTACGCTACGCATGGGGTGGGGTGGGATGGGTTGTGATATCATTCGTCAGTACTGCAAGACATGATGCGATGCGACGCTACGCATGGGGTGGGGTGGGGTGGGGTGTGATATCATTCGTTTCATTACTGCAAGACATGATGTTGATGGCTTACGATACGCAAGGGGGGGGTGGGGTGGTTTTTGTGGATCGGTGGGGTGGGTTGTGACATAATTCGTCAGTACTGCAAAGACATGATGCGATGCGAAAGCTAAGGAATGGGGTGGGGTGGGGTGGGGGTGATATTATTAATCCAATTACATTGGATTTCATTCGTCATTCTGCAAGACATGATGTGATGTACGATACGCATGGGGTGGGGTGGGGGTGGGTTGTGATTATCATTCGTCAGTACTGCAAGACCTGATGGATGATAAGCTAAGCATGGGGGTGGGTGGGGGGGGTGGGCGGTTCGCCTGATGGCGATAGTATTCATGCAAGACATTGTGATCATTCGTCAGTACTGCAAGGGCCATGATGATGCTACGCTAAGCAGGGGGTGGGGTGAGGGTGGGGTGGGTTGTGATATTCATTCGTAACTTACTGCAAGACATGATTGTGATGCTACGCTACGCATGGGGTGGGGTGGGGTGGGTTGTGATATCATTCGTCAGTACTGCAAGACATGATGTGATGCTACGCTACACATGGGGTGGGTTTGGGTGTGATATGATATCATTGGTCAGTGCTGCAAGACATGATGCGATGCCACACTACGCATGGGGTGGGGTGGGGTGGGTTGTGATATCATTCGTCATTACTGCAAGACATGATGTGATGCTACGCTACGCATGGGGTGGGGTTGGGTGTGATATGATATCATTCGTCAGTACTGCAAGGATGGATGGGGTGGGGTGGGGTGTGATATCATTCGTTCCCAAGTCCAAGGCAAAGGCAATGGTTTGTTGTTCAAGTACATTCGAAGTCAACAATGGAGATGGGAACACACTGGCTTCGACTTGCTGACCGCAAGTGGCGAAGCTGTAAGATCTCTCATGCGGTGAAGAGAAAAGGCCACTTTGTTCGTTCGTCGGGTTTTGCAGCACAAAACCCTGTAAGGGTTGCAAACCACAGTAACGCGGATGTTTTTTTTTGATGGCCGTTTGCCACATGAAATCGCGTTGGCGCCACAGCGAAACAACAATTTTTGGACAATCAATGATCCGCCGGGATGTATATGTATATGTGTATGTGTATGTGTATGCGTATGCGTATGGGTATGTGTATGTATATGTGTATATGTATGTGTATGTATACATGCATTTCGTCTGCTCTTAGGCCGCTCTTTCTTTTTGGACTGGTGACCAAAGGGTGCATTATCTAGGGTGCCCGCCATGCTTTCGTTCGACGTGTCAGTCTTATGGGACGCGTCGGTCTTGCGGACGTGTCGGTTTTCTTCGACGCGCCGGTATTATTGATAGCAATGGTGAGGAACCAACAAGGATATGGCGGAGGGGCCGGCGGAGGTTAGCCAAAACACTTGCCACAATTGACTTTGATGAATGTATGATAGTTCATACATGCATTTCGTCTGCTCTTAGGCCGCTCTTTCTTTTTGGACTGGTGACCAAAGGGTGCATTATCTAGGGTGCCCACCATGCTTTCGTTCGACATGTCAGTCTTATGGGACGCGTCGGTCTTGCGGACGTGTCGGTTTTCTTCGACGCGCCGGTATTATTGATAGCAATGGTGAGGAACCAACAAGGATATACCCAACTTCGAACTTTGGGGGGGGTTTGGGGGGGCACCCTGAGGCTACTATACCCTATTTAGAAAGGTCAACCAGGAGCAAATGGGCCAATGTATGAGCATCTCTTGCCACCTCCACACATTCCAAACAAGGCTGGCACAAGCTAGCCAAAGCATTCATGCGCACTGTTTGGGACGGTTGAAACTGATTAAGCACATTTATAGCTCCTAGTTCCTGGATGTAGTGCAACATTGTTTTCAAATGCAACCAACGGCCACGCCATTGGAGCTTGGGGATGTTCTCATCCCACAGCTGGAACAAATACGTTGCTCCACCAGGCCGGAGACTAGACGGGTACACTAGCTTACTGTGGCCACATGCTGCCACCAAAACTTCGGAAAAGGCTGGCAGAGTGTGGCCAAAGCAGCTCGTCTGCCTGCATGTGCTTGAAACACTTCTCTAAAAAACTGATCACGAACAGCTCGTCTAATCTGACGCTTTGATGACGGGCGCCCCGAGTTCGGGATTTGGTTTGCATCAACTGTAGCACAACTATTTTCTTCCCGCCAGGCAAGGAACTGAGGACGCAATGCTTCACCTTCAGCGAGCACAACTCTGCAGGTCTCAGCAAAGCGAAGAATCCTAGCAAGAGAAGTAAGCACATCCGATGCCACTTCCACCCCAAGGCCTGAGAGGCCATCGCCAACAACAGCTGGTAAGGGATCGGAGGATGCAATTGTGATGGGTGTAGTGTTTCCCATGTAGTCACTAACTGCCAGGGCCCAACCATCATGGTTCTCAGAAATGGACACATTTGCTGAACTGAATTGATTGTCTCGGCGTAATTCCTTCTGCTCGCCCCCTGCTCGTATAGCACTTTGCCAAATTCCTCCAGGAGTTCTATCACTGTCACTGGCGAAGTGCGAGCTACTGCTTTCAGGTTTGTGAACGAAGGGTCTTCTGTGACAGCCCATTCCAGAAATTCCTTCAGCAACCTTTGTCTGATGTTTGCAGTCTGCCCTGTGACTCTGCCCGCCACCAAGTCTTCGCGATTTCTGGGGCCACCAGGCGGTCGAGGCCCAATCACGAAAGGAACCGCACTCAGCAGAAACAGCCAAAAGAGCAGTAGCCCCGAAGAGCAGCCATCTGCCCAAACTCCGCGGTGTGTGGGATGCATTATCTAGAGCATCCTGAGCTAGAGTTTTGAAACCCAGCTTGATGTCAAAAAACCACGGTGGTAAGGGGGCGCGTGATGGTCTAACACACTTGCTCCTAGATGGATCGTCTGCCCTTAATGCCCAAGTTGGTGAGTGCAATCCCCCGGGATAAAGGTCTTTGGCGATCAAGATTGTCATTTCTTGACGAAGAATGGCGTTCATGCTAGTACTGCTACTTCTCCCCTGAGCACCAGCTCCCAATGCAACCATGGAATCTTGAAAGAGAACAAATCTTTGACAAGGGGGAATGTGCAACAAAAGGCTTTTTCTGGCATGACACTCCAACACGTTAATGTGCCCTTTCTTTCTAAACCGGTACTTGCGAAACACCTTCCAAGGCAAACTTTCGGCCAAGTGTGTGGACCATAAATGACTTACAAATCTACCAGAAGCTTTTGAATCTTTCAATTTGGATGTTTGAGTTGTGGGTTTGGAGCTGGTCTTCCCGGTTGGCTCACGGTGCCCCTTTAAAGCTTTAAAACCTTCTACCAAACACTTGCACATGTATTCACACATGTTGAAGGGATAGGGTGAAGATGAAGATGAACCTACCAATTTCTGATGTTCGTGGTTGCCCGGACACTTTCGGGACAGCTTTTCCATAAACGAATGGGTCCCCAAAAGCCGAGTGGATTTTTGGTAAGGAGTTCCAAACTGGCACTGGTCCAAGCGGCTTATTACTCCCCCCAACTTCTGACAATATATCCACCAAGGCAAATGCTGAGTGAAAGCGGTCCAAGGGGTTGCTAGCACGGCAAACCGCCCACAAAACCATTGAGCCAACCACAAAGCCAAAGCCAAATGTATATGGAAATTGCCCAACAGCACCTCTATGTTGAGGAGATCAAAACCCAGAGGTTGGTCCTTGCTTCTGAGCTTTTGGGGTCGTGCCATTGAGAAAGTAGTGGCTGGTGGACTTAACCATACTATGGCTATTCTTCCAGCTAGACTTAACCCCAGAAGTAACAGGAACAGCGATGGTTTCCCTAAATGCCACCCTTGTTTCAAATCAATAGGGGGCGCCACTACCAACCCTTTATCAGCAAAAGCTTTTGACATTCGAGCACACCCGGCATATACCTCCAGAAAATCAAATCTTAAAGGGATGAGCTTTGGGGGGTTTTGCTGGATGTGTTCGGACCCTGCAAACTCTGCTTGTCTGGGTGGCCCATCTTCTCCTACTACTGGGCTAGCCGTGGCCTTTTTTACTTGCGCAACTGATGCCAGCACTGAAGTGCTGTCGCTCCGCACCGTTCCGCACATTTGTCGTCTAGAAGCCCAAGAGTGACCGCAGGCCCTTCTTCAAGAAACTCAGCTACCGGAGGCTCTGCAAACAGGCTCTTACAGTGCTGTGGAGGGTTAAGGTCATTTGATGGTTGAAATTCTTCAACATCAACCCCTTTTTCATGAAGATAAGAAGTGACAGGGGATAACAGTTTTGTGTGAAAACCTCTACCCTCGGCACGCCGAAACAACTCTGTGGCCACCGTTTGTCCAATTCGGCACGCAACAGCACCAGCGCCGCCCGGAGCTGCGTCTGTGCCATAGGCCGTATCACTGACTGGGCTCCGTAACTGGGAAAGCGCTGTGCCTCCCAAAATTGCCAACAACTGAAGTTCTTCTCTAACTTTACGTGGGGGGATGAATGGTGTAGATTCAGAACCATTGGGGGCCCCAACATGATATAATTCATGAATGATGCTAAACAGGGGTCGGCGGAATTGGAAGCAAAAGGCCCAACACCCTAGCAGCACCTGCAACAAATGACGTGTCAGAGCTGGCGACTTCGCTGCCAGGCCTGTTGCAAACGCAAGTGATGCTAGCCGAGACCGCTTGGCACCAACCAATCCTTCAACTCCCTCAATTTCAGCGCCCCAGGCTGAATAAACGGAGGCACGGCGCAATCGCTTTTTGGGGTGATATGAAAGACCTGCGGCCTGGTAAGCATTATCCCCGTTTTTACAGGCCTCTGAATCCCTTAAAGGTTCATTGGGGCAGCTTTTGCGGACCAATTGGAGGTTGACTTTGTCATCGATGCAAACACCCGAAAAATGACCCAAATTACCCCTCGGGAAGATTTCCCCAAACTTAAGATGCTCATCAGGCCGCAAGGCATCAAACGATTTGAGTAAATTCTCATGTGCCTCTTGAGCTATCTATCAGTGGGGCCCAATGGTCCCCCATGCTCAGCCCCTGAAAACACATGAACACTTTGGTGTCAGAACGGATGGACGCAGGCGGATGTCGGGAGCGAAGCTCCTCCAGAGCATGGGACCCCTCCCAGTCAGAAGCATTCCACTGTGGGCCTACAGGAGTGCTAACAGCTCTATTAAAAGAAACTTCAAATTCGTGATAGTAGTTTCTAAGATCATCAACGGACCCAAGTAAGTTGCAATCCTTGGGGATGATGATAGGGAGGAACGACGAAGGATGTCCCATTTTTACTCCATCGCTCGGAGGTCCCAGCTCTCGTGAATTTCGAGGCCTGCGATCGATGATCTGCCGCAGTTCACCGTCTGGCTTGGCAATGCAAAACAAGTTGCACCGATCACGCAGATCTATTTCCGCAAAACTTGCAAGACACAATCTTCCAACAGAATCCCATCGTTGTCCCAAACAGTGCAACTCAGCTCTGGTGGCTGCATCTACTTGGTCGGGCGGCATCAATTTAGCAGAACCTTCCTCTCTCCATCCCAACAAGCTTGAGGGGTTGTGATAAGCCAGCTTTGACATGTCACTGAGGTACGGAAGCGGGTCAAAACCCTGGAGAGAGGAAGGAAATGCTATCTTGTCAGCCACTGTTGGAACTACAGATGCTGTACCAGAGTCTTTGCGGACTGTCGAAGGCGCAACAGAGGCACCATAAGGTAAATCATCAGAGCCTTCAACTAAAACATGCAAAGCTGCTAATTCATCGGACGCTGCTGCGACCTTCGAGCCGCACCTCAAGAAGTCTGTTCTACCGAGGCGGCTGAGAGAGCGTGCCCGAACAACAAGGTTGTCTACGACAGCTTGTTGGTGACTGCTAAGGGGAATCCCAAAATGCCAGGGCCCTTGTTTTCCATGCAAGAAATTTAAGGCACCAATTTGCAAGTTTACAAGAAGTTCAACAAAACGTCTCTTTCGCCACCTCATGCGCTTGCGCCTAGATTGATGCTGCATGACACAAGGCTCCCATTCGTAGGGAGCAGGAATGGGAAAAAGCTCAGCGGATGTTGGCCAACAAGGCCCCCGCAAGGTCATACCAGTCCTAAGAAATGATGCAAAATGAGTCCTGCTGGACAAAACTGTGCGAAGTAAAAAGAGTGGCCAGCCATCAAAAGAGGTTGGATTCACTGTGGTGCCTCGGCAGGCTCTGCTTTGCCACCTTTGCCCTTGCCCGTTGGTGCACCTGGAGCTCGTGCTTGGCCGCGCCGCTTGACTAGGACTTCTTCGTCTTTCATGCGGGCGGTGATGGCCGCCGCCCAGGTGCTGTGGATGAGCCGGCTGTGCGCAAAGTTGACTGATGGATGCTTCTCTCACTTTCCACTCCTGGAATGGAGGCTGTGGCAAATGGGTCAGGCGCCATGCAGCTGACCAGTTCTGGTCCAACTTGTACTGCTCCAACGCTGCCACTCTCAACATCAACAGGAGATGGGCCTTGTCGTGCTGTTTGGCTCGCAAGAGGCCAATGGCTTTGACTAGGATCCATACCATGTACCCCATGTTCCGGTCGTTCCCGACAGGAAGTTCTTCGCGAGCAAAGCGCTCGAGGGTGTCGCTGGTGGCCTGAGTCATGCCAAGAGAGTTGGCTGCCATGTGCTCGATTGCGGTCACATAGTCTGATGGGCTTGCATCCATGCTGGCCCTGAGACGTTCCAGCAACATTGTCCCCTTTGCTCCAGAAAGCTTCCTCAACGGGTCGTCTTCCTCGCTGTCGGAGGACTCGCCTTGGCCGAACATCAAGCCGACCTTCTTTCGGCGATTGTGGGAATCCTTTCCCAGTAGCTTCAGCATGGCTAGCTTCCTCAGCTTGTCCAAATCCTCGGAAGTCTCCTCGGTTCCATCGGCCATGTCCGCCTCCAGCGCTGCCATGGTCTCTAAGGGGGCTCCCGCTGTTTGAGCTTTGGTGGGAGGAGGCTTGCCCGACAATTTTGCCAGCTGGGCCATAGGATCTTGAGGCTTGGAGCTTGAGGCTGCAGGTTGAGAGGCTGCTTTTGCTTTCATTTCTCCCATATCGGCTTGCAACGCATTCACTGAAGTTGCCAAATTTTGCAACTGGGTGAGCACAGCGTCGAGCACTGGAGCAGATGGCTGGGGCGTAGGGCCTGCATCTCCTTCCAGCGCGGTAAGATAGCTGTCGGACTCGCGGGGCCCACAGCAACCTATCCATTCTCGCACGCTCAACATGAGCTCCTCCATGTCTGGGCGCACCAGCTCTCCATCTAGCTCGAACTGCGCCACACCATCGGCCCAGGTGGGGTCGGGACCCATCAGCTTCAAAAAGGAGAAAGTCTTGTTGGGAAAATCTAGCACCAGCACGGATACATCTCCGGACTGTTCTGCGCTGTCCACCGGCACATCCAGCAACAAATGGGGGCCAAGGTCTGTCAGAGAACCTTCCACCTTGCCATCGTTGAGCTCTTGATCCGTGAAGGTCTGGCCAGGAACTGCTAGCATGACACCGCCTTTTCGCGTCAGCAACGGGATGGCTGAGGCTTGCCTGTCTGGTAAGTCTAACAAAAGCCATTCCCAGTCACCAGTGTTCCCACCCACCTTCAGGCCTTTCAACTTGCGGGTGGACAAAGCAGCTGGAAACCTAGGTCTGCTCATCACAACGCCCCTTGGCAATGGGGACTCTTTCTAGAAGGTCCTTAGCCTCAGGAGTGGCACTGTTCAGGAGCCTGTGCTGTTCCAAACTCGCTCCAGCAGTGATCAAGGAATTGCCCTAGTCCTGCCGTCGGTAGCCAGCCAACCGGTCTTCACGAAGGTTGACTATGGGTGGTGGGTAAATCTCAAGGATGGCAGTGACCAAAAGCCTGCGAAGCCTGGCTGAGCAGGCCAATGCAGTGCAGATGGATCCAAGGACGCAACCGATGCACAGGCAGATTAAGCCAAATAGGATCCACTCTGCAAGGCCAGGAACCCGATAGCTCGGCGAAGTGAGCGCGATAACTAAGGGCTCCAAGAATCTGTGCCACATTGACGGCTTTAGCCAAAACACTTGCCACAATTGACTTTGATGAATGTATGATAGTTCATGTGTATGTGTATGTATCTGTATGTATCTGTATGTATGTGTATGTATATGTATGTGTATGTGTATGTATATGTATCTGTATGTGTATATGTATGCGTATGTATGCGTATGAATGTGTATGTGTGTGTATGTGTATGTATATGGATGAATGCATGCATGCATGCATGTATATGTGTATGTGTATGTGTATGTATATGTAAATGTATATGCATATGTATCTGTATGTGTGTATATATGTATATGTATATGTATATGCGTATGTATATGTATATGTATGTGTGTGTATATGTATATGCGTATGTGTATGTGTATGTATATGTATGTGTGTATATGTATATGTATATGTATATGTATATGTATATGTATGTGTATGTGTATGTGTGTGTGTGTATATGTATATGTATGTGTATGTGTTTATATGTATATGTAAATGTATATGTATATGTATATGTAAATGTATACGTATGTGTATGTGTATGTGTGTGTGTATGTGTGTGTGTGTTTTGTACATTGTTCATCATTGCTCACTCTGCTGTTTGTGCAGCAACGATGCTCCTCGCTCCCAGGATCTGTGTGCAGCCGAGCGACAAGGACCTTGCGGTGCACAAGGAATGTCGCTGCTCTTCCCCATTTCCATGTAATCTGAGCTTTCCGATAGGTGGAGGCAGCCTCAGGCAAAACAGATAAACCAAGCAGAATGCAAATTGCAAAAACTATCCAAAGTCGAGGAGTGCTTCCTATTGACCCACACAAGGACAAGAATTTCGGCAAGATGCAATTTCGTCTGCTTCTGAATCAAACTTGATGGAAGCCAGCGCAGATCCAGCCAACACAGTCCGTATTCTCAGGGACCAGTTGGTTGCAGGCGAACACCACTGGTGAGTGGCCGCGGCAGCCAGACTCAGATAAGGCACAGTCATACAATTCCTATGCACCTTCTGCAAGAGACGTTTCATCTTCCAGTCCATGAGTGATGCCTGGTATCAAATGTAGAATAAAAGAAAAACATTTCAAAAGATGGTACGCAATACTGAGAAAACAATTTGATCTCATGCTTCAAAGTGCTGGTAATGTGAAACACCTGGAAGTTATACGGCCGGGGAGCTATGCCCAAGAGCGCTCTGCCCTTTGCGTCACTAAATCTGGAGCCGCTGGGCCTTGCTGATCAAAAGTGGAATCGATTCAGAAAACTCGAATCGACATCACTCGACATCTCAGGAATCTCATGGAATCTCCACAAGACAAGTGCTTCACAGAGCCCGTCTGAAACCTGAGCAAGAAGGAGGCGGCTGCCAAGGAACGAGATTTGACAATCTCCAATTCTGATTTCCTTGGCAAAGGTTGAAACATGTTGAAACCGTCAAACAGTGAGAGCTGTTCACTAGCAGCTGAAGGGTCCAGTACTGAGTTTAGATGTGGTTGAAGCACGTTGAAGCATGTTGAAACATGTTGAAGCGACGCTGCCCATGCTTGTTCCAACTGCTTCATGCATGTTCCAAACTGCTTTATATTTGCAAGAGAGGTTCAGTGCCGTGACCTCTTGCTCAGCTTCCATCAGACAGTCCTTGGAAGTCAAACCCTGCACTGCGGCAACCGCATCAAACACTTCGATTTACAGCATCTACTCCCTCGTGTCCTGCAGCTCCTTGCACTTAATCATCACATTCTGCTGTTCCTGCATCAACTGAGCTGAACATCAGGTCGCTGTGTGTGAAAGACTACCCACTGGCCAAATTTCACCAGCCTGCTGCAAAATCCTCCGGACATCTGTGAGCTGCATCGGCACCTCCTGTGGCAAAGTGTGGAATATTCTGCAGGTGAGGAAGAAAGACCAAAATGACCAAAAATGTTGCGAGGAGACTCCAAATCAAAATCCTGAACTCAACCAGCAGCACAACTTGTTGGCATTATTTGGCAAACACATGAAGACATATATGATCATATGCATATCTACATACATATGTATATATATATATATATTAGCATTAATACTAATATTCATATTATTGATATTAATGCTAATTGTAACATTAGTATTGCTATTACTGTAATATTAATATTAAAATAACTATCAATATCTATCAATAAATATGTGTGCCCATATGTGTACCTATATATGCTATATATATATGTGTGTGTGATGAATATATATATATGATTAATATATATATATGTATAATATATATATGTGTGTGTAATATATATATATGTGTAATAATATATATAAATATATATATGTGTGTGTGTGCGTGTACATTCATGTATCATGATATCATATTTTGATGCCATAGTTTGACCATGTCTGTCTTATAAGTGTTTATTATAGTCTGTGAATTGGTTTATCAGTTTATCATAGTTCATCAGTTTAATTATCATGTTTTTTCATACTTTATCGTATCTGAATGTATTTTAGGATATATATGGATATATATTTTTTTTTGCATGTGGCTACGGACCTGCGGGCCACTCTTTCTTCATGACTGCCTGCTTGCTTGCGTCTGTGTCTTCCATGTCTCTGCGCATTCTCATCCGTTTAAGTCTCTGGAGGTGTCTGTGTCTGTCTGTCTCTCTGTGGTCTCGGTCTCAGTCTCGGTCTCCCTCTTTCTCTCTCTCTCTCTCTGTGCTGACATAGCTTCATGTCTGCATGCGGTGCTTTTGGATCGCCGGGAAACTGAGTGTTTGAATCTTTGGAGTTGGTGAATCAGAGTATCTGAATCGGAGTTGTTGAACCGGGTAGAGTTTTGTAATCGTAATTCATTCTATGTCTGTCCTCTGGAATTTGCATGCCTGTACCTCTGTCTATGGGCGTGTTTGACTGCATGCCTGAAACTCTTCTGGTAAGTACAACAACCGCCGCCACCACCACCACAATCATCGTCACTACAATCATCACCATCATCGTCGTCACTACCATCAGTCGCCCCTTTCTCTGCGTAGTGTTTTCCCATCTGCTTGCAAGATCGACGTGCTGAAGAAAATTCTTCAAATCGGCAAGGAAAGTTACTTAGCATCCCCATGAATCCCAGCTCCGGCCAGAGCGAACAGACAAAAATGGAGAACATGTTGAACAAATGTTGAACAAAAAAAGGACACATAGAACTTCGCTTGGCACTCGCTCCGCGAGGCCAACTCTTGTGGCTGGAGGCCAGCCTGTTGAGTGTCTTGCATGTTTTGAGTGCCTTGAGTGCCTTGGGTATCTTGATCTTGGATGATCTTGGCTTGTCTGAACTTGTCTTGTGCTGCATGGCTATACTGCATGCGTCTCCGCCGAACACTTTCTACTATACCACTAAGCTCAGATGCGGCATCATACGCGTATGTAATGTATATAGTCCTATGTGTGCTGTAAGCCCCTGTCCTGCACCTGCTTGGACAGGCTCGGTGAACCTGAAAATGAACATGAACCCCATGGTTTGCAACGCTGTTCCCCTCCCTCGTTGCTATCTCTGCCATTGTGGTTGGTTGTTGTTAGTTAATAGTTTGTAAGCTGGAAGATGGTGGCACCACTGTATTAGTGTCAGACGAGTTCGCCAAATTTTGAATTTTGCTCAGCCCACCACTGTGTAAGTCACTGGTAGTAGCTTCATGCGAGATGTCCTCAGGGCTGCAACCATGCAAATCATGCAATCATATGAATCATATACAATCTGTGGAGAAACCGAGGCAAAATTAACTGCAAATCGCATCAAATCGCACCATCCATTGCTGGGCTCTGCCGCTGTTTCATCTCCCGAGCGAATGATGGAGACGCTCACCGAGCTCTTGGAGACCTCAAGAGTGAAGCACTCAGGCACCGATAGGCACCGGTTCTCCCATATCCGGGAAAAAAGCAAATGCACTGATGAATGGGACATGAAACTACGGGAAATGATCGAATACCATGCCATGTGAAAAGTGTAGAACAAAACGCACAGTTTAATCAGGTTCCAGCTAGATTCGAAAGCATGGACTGGCTCAGAGGCACACAAACAGAAAGAAACATAAAGAAAGAAATTAAGGACGAATGAAAGAAAGATGTCCACACAAACAGACAAACATACTTACCGACACACAAGCAAAGGGACAAATGATGCATACTGTAATATATGTACATATATATATATATATTGGTTTGATTCTTTTTGTGTGCATATGTTTTCCTTATTATATAATATCAATGTGAATATTATAGACATATGTACAGTAGCACAAATTGATTGATAGATGAACAAGCCTACGGATAGCTTGCACAGTCCTAAAAACAAATGTGTGAATATGTGCATATATATAATATTATATATATAAGTAGGTATGTACAAGCAAATATAGACCTGCGGACCCTTGTGCCACTTATGCCTACCGTCACCCGGCTGAGCCAACGAACTGAGCGAGTCTCGCACCAATTGATCCAAGCAGCTCGTACTGGACCTGTTAAGACTTTGTCCAGGTTGGGCACTTCACTGACCCATGTCTGGATGGTGTCCAGGAGTGAGGACGAGCTCTTCAGTCTGTCCTGCACGCTTGAAAGCAATCTCCAGCAAGCCGTATGACATCTGCCGTACAGCATAGCATTGTTGAAAACAGCCTCTACAGAATGGAAGCCCCTGTTCTTGCCCCTGCGAGCGGTCCTTCACAAATGCACATGATATGCTAGGTGGAGGCCAGATGTTGGCATCGACAATCAGGGAGCCTTCAGAGAGACTAACCGCCACCTAGCATGTCACAACTCGTTACCACGTCACTGTAAGTCACACACTGACAGAAAAATCCACAGGAGGCAGTCACAGCCATGCGGCAATGCACGGGCTGCTGCAACCTTTTCAACTATACATTTCAAGGGGAAGTCAAAGCATGTCAAAGCACTGCAGTCCGGCAATCAAGACAAATCAATACAAATCAAGGCAGTCAGGGCAGTCAAGGCGCATGCTCGGTTCCTATACCTTGGCCACATTCTTGGGCCAAAGCTGCTCGAAGCGCCTTCTTCGTTGCCTTCGGTGCAAATGCCATGCCCTATGATGGTCTGCTCTGCCCCTGGCTTGCAGCAGGATTGTCACAGGATTGTCACAGGCCACCTTCATCAAGGGCTTGGCTTGCAAAAGGGGCTCCAAAGTAACACCTCTTATTTTGAAGCTGATCGCCACAGCATCACCTGCAAAATGCAGTGAACATCAGTGAACCATTAGCCTGAAAAACCTTCGCTCTTTCACTGCGACTAGCTCAATGCATATAGTCGAGTCAAAGTATTGACAAAGAGATACCAAGATACTGTTTTCACTGCTTCTGGATTGTGACACCCTGCACTCTCACGACCTTGCTTCTTTGCAGCTTGGTAACTCGACAATGGCTGCATCTGTTCTGGTCCCACTGCCATCTCGGCGTCTTCAGGGCCACGATCTTGTTTTGTGAGCGCAATGTGTATCCGAAAGTTTCTTCGCGAGTTTCATGTCATGTTGGCTTCGCTACCACCAGTATAGAAAGCAAGGAACGAGAATTTGTCCCTCTGTCTGTTGTGTTTCACTATTGAAGTTTTTTGAAGTTTCATGCTCTTTCCTGGTTGATGCAATTAAAAGAATTTCGACCGGACCGCAGCCATCCTTCTTGGCTCTGATATGCTCTGACAAATTCCTCCTCCGCGATGTACATTTGAGATCATTTGAGCCCGGCATCTTGCGGATGCAAATCATATTGCACCAACGCTTGCTAATACGGATAATACAAAAGGTGCTGTTCTTTCCCGTGACTCTGTTCTTTCGTGTTTTACGGAAAAACGAATGCTGCAAAAAAACATGGCGTTTGGTCTTGCAAATCCCTTGGTGTATACTCTTACATTCCAAGACCTTTGGGTTGGTGAAAATTAGCACACACTTGGGATCTTGTGGGCTTTTTTTGTCTGTTGGTGTTCTGCGGTTTCCCCTGAAGCACCTCTTTGACTTGACAGGCTTCAGCAACATCGTGCGCCCATTGCTTTGGCACCTGACAATGCCAGATTGGGGCAAAATCTTGCAGTCTGCATATGGATGTCTGTTGCTTTTGTAATTTACTTCGACACGTTCAGTCCACGAAACTGGCTCCCAGAATTTGAGCTCTGGACTCGCAATGGTGACATGTCGCAAACTACAGCCGTCGCTTTGAGCCTGCCGCGCCACCATCTCACTTAGACCCTTGCTTATTCTAAGAATCAACAAACTTGAAAAAAAAACGAGAAAATGCAAAAAAAAATGGGAAAAAAAAAGGCAAATCAGCAAAATCCAAAAAAACACAAAGCAAAATGAAAGGGAAAAAAGGAAAGACAAAAGGCAAAAAAAGGAAAATGAAAGCAAAATGAAAGCAAAATGAAAGCAAAACGAAACAAATACAATCAATTCTCAAAAATCATGAAAAAACTAGCAATTGCAACCATCACCTTGTATAAACTAGGTACCAACATGAAACAAAAAGCAACAAACAGTAAAAACCAACAGCAGCAGACTGCTGCAAAATGGCAAGCAATGTGCATATTCAAAGATCTTCAAAAAATGAAAGCCTGGTGAAGAATCAAGGAGTCAAGAAAAACTAGAGTCTGGAACAACCTGCTGGAAGAAAGCCTTAGGGAGGACAAGGAGAAGGGGAAGTGCACACGGTGCACATGGGAAGACGGCAGAAGTCCTGAGAAGAAAGGAGCTGGTGAGAAGTAGGATGGAAGAAATTGGGAATTCCCTTTTTTGCTTTTTGGATTCGCTTGTTTGCTTTTTTTTGGCTTTTTGTTTGCTTCTTGTTTGCTTGTTGTTTGCTTTTTTTTGCGTTTTTGTTGCTTTTTTCACCTTTCTTCCAGGCAAAAAGCAAAAAGTAAAAAAGCAACAAAAAAAGCAACTTGGAAAAGGACAAGCTGGACCACTACAGGATTGATGGGTGGATTGCATTCTGCCTGGCCTTGAAAGCCTACCCTCAAGCCTTACCCGGCTGCAGAGCACCTTAGAAGCCCTGGAATCCCTAGAATCTAGGTCTATATAGATGGCTCTAGAATCTTTAAAGGCGCAACCAGAACTGGGAAGGCAATTGCTATTCGAATGAATTTTAAACTTGAAAAACTCATAGAGAGGTTGTGTGTCTGGTGTTTTTACATTGTTGTTCCTTTTGTTGTCCTTTTTTTGTTTTTGCTTTTTCCACCCATGTTTTCATGTTTTCCCTTTTTGAAATTCCATTTTGTTCCATTTATTTTGCTTCCTGTTATTTTCATTTTTTGAAGTTTTTGCGTCATGTGTTTTCCTTTTTTGGTTTTTTTCAAGTTTAAAAATCAGTAGAATAAGCAATTGAGGAGAACATAAACTTAGAAAGTTGTTGAGTCACTTCGAGGGGTTCTTGGATTAATATGGATTATTGATCATGCGTCGCATACATGACCGGGTACAGTTGCAGCATGCTTCAAGACTTTCCTTGCAGTAGCCGCTCTGTGCGTCGAGATTAGTCGAGGTGCTCATCAAGCAATGCAGGGATCTCAGTCGAAGCCTGGCAATGTGGGACGGCACGCTACAGTTTTCATCCCATGCTGAGCGGCACTGCATGCACCATCTCACAACTTCCAACTTTGAAATGCTTTTTCCACAGAAGATCACAGAAGAATGACAGAAGCCCAGGGCCCCAAAACTACCGATGGTCCTTGCCGATCTTGAGGTGAAACGGTCTGGGCATAGCGGAGCTCCAAATTCCAAGGAAGAAAACTCCAGGATCATCGCAATTTCAATACTGGAGCCCGGCTGGACATGGCTGGACAACCCTTCCCGATTTTCCTTCTTCTGGTCTTACCAAACATACCAACACCAAAACCATCCACGAATCCACGGATAGCCGTCAGCTGAGAACTGGACATGTTCTTGGCTTTTAGTCCGGCGGCCACCTGAGACTGACACAGAATCGTGGAACCAGTGGAACCTGGGGCAGACCTCCCAATTCCAAGACTTGCGAAATGACTCACATGATGGAATGGTCTCAGATGGTCTTACTTAGAATGGTCTTAGCATGGTCTTCTATTATATAAAGGTGCTTGGTGCTGTGCTGCAGTGCCTAGATGCACACAGCGGGTCTTGCCTCTTTCAAACCTCTGAGGAGGAAGTCAAACCTGAGCATGGAGAGATCGAGCGAGTGTGGGGTGCGTGCTGGGGACAAACCTGAGCAGCACTACAACCTCAACTAGGACTTATGCTGCTAAAGAGTGACTGTCTAATCGTAGCATCTCCAAATTTCGGGACCAAGCAGAAGACTACCTGACACAGATCCAAAGACGTAGCATAGACAAAGCCAAACAGCGACAAACTAATTCTCTTAGTAGTAGGTTAAGGATGGCAGGGTGTCTCGTTCTGAGACCATCGAAAAGGATAGACAAGGCCTATCGCTTTCCAAGAGGGCCAGAGCAATTGCAAAGTACATCCCTCCTCGTTTTTGCGTTTTGCGTTTCAGTTGGCGCGTCAGATCCTGAAGTTATGCAATCGTGCCAGGGCGACGTGCACTGACGCAGACCTAGTGGTTCATGTCAACTTTTGAAGTATGCGATGCGGCGCTGAATTCTTCCCCCGTGTGTCTGACACTGGGAGGGCTGAAAGGCAATGGAATCATTGAGGAACTTGAGGTCTTCTCCGCAAAAGCAGCCTTCCTCGAAGGAATGAGCCCTGGACCTTTGAAGGGCAAGCCTGAAATAGATCAAGAGATGCGCTGACTGAGAACAAACAGCTATGACGTCAGACCATCAGACTCCCGAGCACAAAAAAACTCGTGTACGGAAGCAGTCTGAAGTTCAGCTTCCAGCTTTTGGGTGTAAAGTAGAGCCCAATTGTCTTCGACACCTCGAAGTTCGTCTCGAAGACCATGCAAGCGAGTAGATTATACATTCATACGGGTTACATACGTATTCAAGTTTTTGCTGCACAACAGGAGAACTCAGAAAGCAACGTTGGTCTCGAGACATCCAATAGATCACAGGACCCCTGGAATCCTGTCAGATTCCACGACTGCCAGATACCACCCAAGTCTGCCCGATTGGTTTGGTTGGCTGGTTTGGAAGTCTCTGGCATCAAGACGCAACAAGCTACTCAGTTAGGCTACTCAGGCTACTCAGGCAGTACAGTCTGTCCTATCCGTACCTGCATCTTTGATCTTCGCGCATCTACCTAGGAGCGAATGCTGAGGGCTTCGCCTTCGCCATGGGCACCTTATTGAGCCTTCTGCAACGTCTCTTGTCGACGCCTACGAACGAAAGAACGAAAACAAAACTGCTGGGCCCATCTTTGCCCATCTGGGCAACTTCCAAAGTTTCAACGATGTTTCAACGGCGTGTCTCAACGTTGTTTTTCAACTATGCAGAAACTTCATGGAGCCGCACCGTCGACTGAAACGACATCAGATGAAGTTGCAGGCACGCTCGCCGCACTCGACATGCTGATCCTGAGCCAGTTCCCGAGTGCAAATGTCCAGTCTCATTTGGTCGACGGGCAACTAGGCAAGCAGGCAAAGATCGACCTGCACAGCCCAAACCTCGCGCAAATAAGCAGTAAAGCCGTGCTCACAACACCAATGTCTCTCACGGCATCTCAAAGACAAGTAAAGAATAGTAAAGACAGTCATAAGCCATAAGTCGTCAGAGTCATCATAGATCTCCACAGTAGCTGCCTCCAAAGACCAACGCAAAGGGGCAAGCTGCTTGCAGGCCACTTAGCACATAGGAGCAGCCTCTGCAGTGCGTCGCACTTATTTTGCACGGGTACAGGGGCTTGGCATTTTGAAGGTGTCGCATCATCACTGCATTGCACGGGCCTGAAAAGTGCAAAGTCCGGGAAAAGCGGATAGAAGCTGTAGATATCTCCGGGGCGACGTGTCATCCCACAATATCCCACAATTCCTGGCAGCCCTGGCATTCTCTAGAGTTGTCGAAATATGTCGAAATCTTTGGCTGCTTTCCTGCCTGGGGCTTGAGGATCGGTGAAGCGAGAGAGCCAAGCAGACCTGAAATGTTCTGTCGGTCGTGAATCTTTTACCCAAGAGGAAGCCCATGTCCATCTGATGGGCAGTTCTTCTTCAATGCCCCTAGTCTTGGATATAGTTTCAATTTGTTTCAATATGTTTCAATATGTTTCAATGTGTTTCAATATGTTTCAATATGTTTCAATGGCGTTTATAGTAGATGTGCGTAATCTCTTTGGTTCTGTATGCTTCTGTCCATTGCAAAAGTCCCACACGGCATGAATCCCTTTTGCGCAAGAGCGCCACTGACGAACAATTATGTCAATAGGCGGCTCACTGCATCCTGAAAACCAGCCAGCAAAAGGAAGCCAGAAGGAAAACAGCTGAACGGCCATTATCAATGTGAAAAGCTGACAAGAAAATCCCGCTCGCACTGATCGAAACCTCTTTCAATCCATGGCATAAGCGTCGGAAAGACAAGATTAAATTTGATTAAATGATTAAAGAAACATAGATTGAGAACAGCAACTGGGGAGGACTTGTGGGAAAAACTTCTTAAAATAACCCCACATCTGGAGACTTTGTAGACCCAAGAGTTGGTTTCCTGAGAAAACAAACTACATTGATGGAGAATCAGGATTGCATATTTGCTTGGTGTTCTTGAATCAACAAGCAGGCCACAGCCCGTTCTTGAAACGGCTGAAAATTCATCCGGACCTCACGAGTCAAGCTTCGGATGAGGGCGTGTTTCTCCCCCGATGCTTTGTCCTTCCTGAGAATTTGGACAGCCGTAAGATCGCGTAAGATCAGCAAGCAGCTTAACTTCGCCCAGCTCAGCCCAGCTTAGCTGCTTGGCTTCAAAGACTGAGGATGCCAAAGAATGCCAAAGAATGCCAAAGAATAACTTAGACTACCCGTGGATGTGTGAGTCACGAGGTTCAGACGGCTTCCCAACCAGGAACTCCACATCCTCAGCCTGATAGACAATGCCGCAACTCCAAGAAAAAGAATATTACCCAGCTTTGCAACCCAACAGCAGGTTCCAGGATTCCAAGGTTGCAATGTTATTGGGCAAGGTTCCAAGGGTTCCAGCAAGGTTCCAGGACTGTTCCCGTTTTTTGGGGCGTGCATTTTCGTGTCACCACTCCCTGGCCCCAGAGGTTGAAACCCAACAGA